CTGCTGTGCCCTGCCCCAGGTGTGGAAACCCCAGCCCCATCCGTCTGTCAGGCTCCCTTCTGCATCCCTCCCTCCTCCCCATCCTGCTGGGGCACTGCAAGAACATCCCATGCATGCAGCCAACAATCCTGAAAGCTTTCAGTAAATGGCAAAGGTGCAGCAAGGGATAGAGAACCAAAGCCAAGACACAAGTAACCTTGTGAGCAATCCCATTTGTTTCTACACCTGCTGACAATGGTGCATTCCCCAGGTTCAGCCCAAATACCAGAGGAGAAGAATTTTTGAGCCCTGCTAAAACAGAGAGCTGCAGGGTACGCTACATGCCTTCTCCTGTGAGATGACACGTATCAACTCCTGATGGACACAATTGCCAACACCAATAACCCACAGTGGAGAATTTATTAACTCTATTTCCCCTCCATTATGTGGTAAAAGGAGAAATAAGATGGCCTTACTGTTTTCTCCCATAGATATCTGATGGACCTTGTGTTCCAGCCTCTACTGTAGACAGTGAGGCCACAACCCAGCCAGCAGGCTGCCAGGACAGGACAGACATTGTGGTTACCACTGAAGGGACAGTCATCTGCCTTCTGTCCCTGGATCAGGTCTGTCTTCCAGGCAGAACTTCTGCCACCCTCTTCACAAAGTTAGATGTGAAAAGCAGCAGCTAAGAGCAAGGAGGAAGAGGTAAAATGCCTGCCTGCTTGCATCTAAACTGAGAGGAGTCATCTAGTAAACCATGACAATTTAATAGCCAGAAAAGAAACCAAGCAAAGCTAAGCACAGGCTGCTTTGTATGATAAATACCCCACACAGAGGTATGCCAGACAACAGGTCGGGCTTTGAAGAATAGCTGCAGGAGCTCCCAAGGATCACATTTTTATTAAAACTAGACAGAACACTAGAAAGCTGATGGCCCAGTCTAACTGCTCGAGCTGTCCTGGCTGTCAAGCCTGGAAGGCACCTGAGTGGGCAGCATCAAGCCAATAGCTTGGAGATCCGAGCCTGAATGGTCCTGACAGCTAAACCTCACTGCAAAGGTGGGGAAAAAAAACTCAAAGCAAAGGTGAAACCAGGCAGAGCAGACACTCAGGAACCACCAAGAAAACAAGGGGGCTTCTCTTGAACAGTTGAAAAAGCTTCTCTGAGCTAGACCTGCAGATGTAGGTCCTGCCCAATGCCCTCTCCTGCTGTCACTGCAGCAAGCTACTGAACACCGTATTTAAGTCTCCCAATATCCAGGTCATTGTCTAGGTCGTTTCTGGGCTGACGGACCTGTCCCTTGGTATGAGGGGAGGGTACTCACCACCAAGCCCTGGTCATCCTTGTTAGTGATCATGTCCACCAGGTAGGTGCGGAGGGCATCCAGCTTCTGCAAAGCCTCAGTCCAGTGCTCCTGCTGAGTCAGGATGCTCTGGTGCACCCGCTCCTCCTCTGTGTGCACGTTCTCCAGCAACCGCTGTTCTTCATTTTCACACACCTTTCCTACAAACATCAGCCTCTGGATGACCAACTCTCGTGCCCCATTGGCCGCAGTCTGCCAGAGCAAGGAGAGAGGAGAAATATCAGTCTTGCTTCAGCCCAAACAACAGCTTCCGCCAGCTTTCTGTAGGCTCAGCTTTTAAGATTACCCTGTTAATGAGCCCAAGCCACAGTAACCATCATGATGCAAACAGAGGTGAACGGGATAACCAGGCCCAAACTTGCTGACTGCCTCCAGGCCCAACCAGCCACCAAAGTAAATGTGCAGTAACCACTAATCACTGTGGCATGTAAGTGACAACCGGCTGCTCTGCCAGGGACCAAAGTGTCAGCCCTCCTCACAACTTCCAGGATTCACAACTAGCGAGAAGCAGGAGCCGACCACGGGAACTGTCTGTCCTCAGTGACAGCGAGGCACAAACAAAAGCAGGGCTCTGAGACACCGGTCCTAAAGCAATGTGTGATGGCTGCACACCAGCACAAATAAATGTATTTTACTTTTTTTGGCAAATGAAGAACGAATCACCAGTGTATTCTGGCTTTTTGAAAACTTCAAATAACAGAAACAGACCTTGAAGCCTGCAAAATTACCCCAGGAGGGCGCGCAGACCATGGATACACTCAGCAGTGCCATCTCAGCACTGCCCCAAGGCAGGGCAATCACAGAGCAGACAGGACAGGGTGCACTGCGATGGAAAGTGCTCGGTGACACCGCGCAGCTCCCCAAAAAACGAGCCTGAGCCACGGGGCAGGCACACAGCCACACAGCCACACCACCTCTCTGTGCCTCGACAGCCACCATGCTCCTGCCGCCCGCTCCATGCACACCGCAGCGCACGGCCCCCACATGCAGCAGCGAAGCAGCTGCAAGAGGAGCAGGAGGAGGAGGAGGAGGAGGAGGAGAAGCCCCAGGAGCAGAGGAGCCCCCCGGGACCACCACGGGGGGGAAGGAAGGGAAGGGCTTTACCAGGACGCTCTGGCTCTTGGCGGGCAGCACCTCGGCCATGTGCTTGGCGATGGCAGCGCTCTGCAGCTGCAGCCGCTCGCACTGGTCCACGAGCTTGTTCTGAAACACAGAGCCACGGGCTGAGCTGGGGGCCAGCCACTACCCCCCGCACCCCCGGCACCCCCACACCCTGCCCGGCTCCCCGCAGCCCTCCCGGGCCCCCCGCACCCCGACGGAGCCCCCGCAGCCGGCCCCGGGCAGCGCTGAGGGGGGGGTGAGGGGGACGGGACCGGATCCCCGCGGGCCTCACCCAAGCCCAGGCCGGAGCCGCGGCGCCCCGGGCCCCGCTCGCCTCCTGCCCGCGGGGCCCGGCACTGCAGCGCGGCGGGGCCGTGCCCGTACCGAGCCGTGCCAGAGCCGAGCCCCCGGCGCTTACCCGCAGCTCCGCCGCCCTCCCGGCCGGCGCCCCCCCGGCCCGCTGGGCCATGCTGCGCGGCTGCGGCACCTGCGGCAGGTGCGGGGATGGGGGGGGGGCGGGAGGCCGCGGGGCCGGGCCGGGGCGGGCGCTGCCGATCCCGATCCCGCCCGGCCCGGCCCCTCCCGGCCCGCCCCGGCCCGGCCCCGAGCCCCGTGGGGGGACCCCGAGGCCCCGGCGCGGCCCCCCCCGGGCCCGGCCCCGCGGCCCCTCCTGGCAGGCGGAGCCGCCGCTCGCCCGGCCCCGGCCGTCGCCAAGGAGCCGCCGGCGTCGGGAGCCGGCCTGGGGGCACGGGGAGCTCGGGGTTTGTACCAAACCGGCCGGGATTTCACCCGAATTGCCGCCGTCACGGCTGCCCGGGGCTGTGGTCGCTGTCAGGCTGCTCCCGGGGGCTGCCTGACGCCCCGTGGGGATGGGGGGCGATGGCCCCGCCGCTGGAGGTGCAGCGGGGGGAGAACACACTGCGGTGTCAGAGCCTCGGGTAGGGGTTGTTTAGAAAAAAAATACGGTGGAAAATGGTTTTGGTTTCTTTTAAGCAGTGCGTTTAGAGGGGAGGGAGGGTGGGAGATTTGCCAATGCAGGATTTGGTCTTTTGAGGTGTAAGCGTTGGGTGAAGCCCTTGCTGCGGGGTCCCAGAGCACGGCACGGTGATCGACCGAGTTCACAATAAATGCGTAGGAAAGCCTGCCAAGGAATAAAACCTGCCGTGCACATCCTGCCAAGGAGCTACTGTTCGTTCATTCAGCAGTCAGGAAAATCTGCTCGTTCCTGCAGCGGGCACAGCTCCCGCTGCCCTCGCAGCCCCCACGGCCTCTGCTCCCGTCCCACCTGCATCGAGCTGAAGTCAGGGTGGGAAGGTGGGAAGGGGCCCAGCCCTGGAGAGCCGACCCCAGGTGAGCTCTGAGATTTTTATTTTGTGGGAGAAACAAATTCCAGTGTTCTTCTCTTCTCACAGAAAAATCACGTTTGTTCCTAATGTAATGTAACACTCTGGAACCTCAGTCTGGCCAGAAGAAGAAAATGATTGAATTAACACTGCCCCTGAGCTGTGAGATTCATTGTTCTTTGCATCTTTTGATGCAAACTCACAGATAGAACAGGCAGAGATTAACTGGGTATTACTAATTGCTAATCTCAAAGGCTGCCAGGATAAAATTAGAAAGGGAATGTATTGTAAAAAAAAAAACAAAAAAAAAACAAAACACCTCTCTTGCTTAGTGCTTCTAGTATTTGGTTCTCAAGATTTTGTGGGAGAGACTTGAAGCATGTATTTTCTTCACTAGATCAAGTAGGAAGGGTGTTTTTTTCTCATATTTTATTAGCAAAATAGTACTTGTCCAGAAGATGGGAGTGTTAGCGTACACCTAGAGCAGACTAAATCCCATTAATACGTCTTGATCTAAGAAGAATCCAATTACTGTACATGGTAATTCACCGTCATTGGAACAGGTTCGTTGGTGACTGCCCTTCATCTGTGACCGTAGCCAGTGTCTTTAATCAGTGGGGTTTGTGTCACACCCAAGCCAGACAATTTCCCAGAACATGACCCTTGAGGATAAGTTGTGTAGACTGGGATCTCCCAGGAATATGGAAGTCGCAGTAATGGAGTAAGAGGAGGAGGAAGGCACAAAAAGAAGTACAGGCAGCAGTTCCATCTCTGTTGTGGCCTCACCATGCTTGGGTATTCGTAAAGCTCAGCTGAAAGGCCCCAGTAACCACATCTCGGCAGCTGGCCCTACACTAAGCAAAAGGTTGGACTGGGGAGCTCCAGACATCCCTTACACTGATTTTTTTTTTCTCTTATTCTAAACAAAGTTAAGATGTAGATACCATGTTGCCTGCACTTTGTCCTGTGTATGCAAGAAGCAAAAATCTCTCTGTGTTCCTGGTAATGCCAGGTGTCTCCTCACCCTCAGGTCACGTCCTAGCAGCAAGCACCTCAGATGATGCAGTGATGCTCAGTGCTGCTGGCCGTAGTTGAAGCCGTGCTTTTCAGTAGTGGGATGGGGAAACTGCAGAGTAAAATCAGCTTCCACTCCACCAAGTACAGGTAAAGCAACGTCAGATGATCATGTCTTAATAAACCATGTATATGAATGGAGAATATAGCAAGCATGTGGTTCGATAGCTTCATTATTGGATTTATGAATTAGAATTTATTTTTGACCCTTGCTTCTAAATTCTGCCTAGCTTATTTGGGGGACTAAAATCCAAAATACAGCTCACAGGAGTGGCTGAATATGTAAATGTGACCAGTGGTTATGCTCTGTGATTGCTAAGGCAGAGCTCTCTCTGAAGGTTAAAAGGTCTAGGAGTGTCTGTTTAGCCCAGATATCCAAAATGCTTCATCATCTCTTCACACTGCCATCAGTTTTCATTGGTAAGGTGCAATAATTAAGTATCTGGCAGCAAAAGTGATGATCTTTGCCTGGAAGATCAGCTGAGAGCACAGGTTGGTGTGGGACCAGAAGCACCTGGCAAGGCTGGTTTCAAAGAGCCAAAGTGCTGGGCCTGCCAGGACAGCAGCAAAGCCTGAAAGGCATTCATGGAAGTGGAGACTGGAAAAAATGAAATGCGGGTTCTTCTGTTCTTTGCACTGGAGTGGAGTGAGTAAACAGACAAATATTTAGCAACTTGAGATATAGAATAGACATACTCCATCTCATCTAGTCCCAGAGACACATTTGTCTGTTGACAGCTTCCCTTCAGCTTTTTAAAGTCTGACGTTGTCATTCTGCAGTCCAGCCAGTGGCGCAATCTCCTAAACCTCAGTCCAAGTGGGTGACATCACCCTGACTTTGCCTTAAAATGCACTGCAGCTCCTGCCACTGTCCCTCTGCCTGTTGCAGGGCCGATGGCTCCGTGGAAAAGACAGGACCTGGCAGAGGTGTTCAGCAGCACAACCCCGTGCACGCCGATGCAGTCACTTCTGTGGCTGCTCTCAAAGCAGACCTGTGTGTGTCAGGAGGAAAGGATAAGGTATGGTACTGGCCCACCACAGGGCACAAAACGCAGTCACAGGCAGGAAAATAGATTGACAGAGACGTTAGAAAAATAAGGGGATGTGGCTTAAATGTGAGTTTTACATGTTTCTGTGATTGCTACCAACTTTGTCAGTGATCTGTCCGAATTGAGAAGGAAAAGGTGAGCTTAGAGTGAGGGCGCACACTGAAGCACACTGGGTCAAATTTCATAACGTTCTCCAGAGGTCAGGTCATGTCAAATGCTTTCACCCAAGCTTAGAACCAATGAGCTGACCCTTCTCTGATGTTATCTGACAAAAGACAGGCTCCAATGGCAGTTGCATTGGCTGTAGGAGCTCAAAACCAAAAGTATCTGTTCTCTCTTCAATCTTGGTCTGTGCACAGGTCTGAGTATAAAATAAACCAAGATAGTGCATGAGCCTTCTTTGTCCCATTTTGCTGCTGATGATTTCCTTCCCCTGGTTCTCTGCAGAGCGTGGCTGTTTGTAACTGGAAATCTGGAGCTGTGCTGAGGCGGTTCGTTGGCCATGAGCATGAAGTCACCAAGGTGAGTGTCAGCTGAGCCTGGTTGGGGTCTTCTGCACCCACCAGAAACTGGGAAAACAGGAATGATAGAGCACGGTTTGTCATCCACAGAGGGCTCGTTTTGCTCTGTTGGAGTTACCCGGGTGTCAGAATGTGTTAGGTTTTTCCCAAGCTCCCAGCTGGTACTTTGCTGTCCAGGAAAGAAGCACTGGTTGCAGCCAGAGGAAACAGGGCACCAGGACACTTGGCTGTTTGCTTATCTTCCCTTCAAGAGACTGCGTGACAAAAACTCAGGATTAATTACTAGGTCAAGTGTTTGATTCAGAGATGCTCTTTGCTTTTCTTCAGGTCTCATCCCACTAGACTTGTTATTCTACAAAACAGCTGTGCCCAGGAACAACGGGGCTTTAATTTTCCATCCAGCATCTTGATTACAAAACCAAATATGCTACTCTGAGAACAAACTTGCAAGGGTGCATACGTGCTGTGCATGGCTTGGCCGGTGTGCCTCCCAGCTGGGAGTAGCCAGGGATTCCCTTGTGCTCTGGGAAGTTGAAGGGATGAAGGGGGCTGGTGGTGCTGCCCTAGGAAGAGCTGAGAATTCACATTTCTTTCATCCCACTGCTCAAAGTGACTGTAATGGGCTCATTTTGTTGTTTTGTGTGTGTGCATTTTGTTGTGTTTTTTTTTGTTTTTTTTTTTTAAGGAAGTTTTTGCCATAAAATTAATTGTTTCTGAAAACAGGATGGGGGGAAAGGCTTATTTTGCAGCATTACACTGATTCCAATGTCTTCTTTCAGAAGCTTCAGCACATGTGAGCTTCAAAGCTGGAATTCAAATTTAGCAGCAAGGTGCCTTTGTGTCAGGAATGTGCTTTTGCTTACTCCTGTGAGAATACATCCAAAATTGGAGCATTTTTTTGCCTTTAAGAACAACAGTTTGTATATGGTGATAGCATGCCCCCCTCCTACAGTTGGTATCTGTTCAGGTGCCCTTCCCGCAGAGCAGAGCTGACACGATCTGCTGGAGTCAGGCTTTCCTGGTAATTGCAGCTTCCCTTCAGGTGCCAAAACCCAAGTCAGAAAATCAGTCTTCTGCATTTCCTTTTCTCCCTGTGCTCACCAGGAGGCTCCTTCATTGCCCAGCTCAAGGGGCTGCGGAGACTGGAATCCCCTTTGCTGCTCAGGGTGGAGGAGAATTGGTGTGAGACTGTTAACCCAGCAGATCTCACCAGCCCTCACTGTTTGATCGTGGAAAGATGAAGAAGAAACCAAGAAAATGACAAAGAAGCATTTATTACCACCCTGCCTCCTCACAAAGGTGCTGCACAGAAATGCCTGGCTCAGCCTCCAGTTTCTTTCCTTACTGTAACAACCTGAAAAAGAAGTTAACCTGCCACAGCCAGCCACTGCCAAAAGCCTGTCTGCAGCCTGGGCTTGCTGTCCCCATGTCATCCCTGACCTCCTGCTGTGCAGGAGCTGGGGAGTTCAGTCAGCTTCTGCACTTGCTCTGGGGAAAGCAGGTTAATGGCTGTGTCGCCTGTAGCTGTGGTCACAGGGAAGGTGATCAGAAACCATCAGGGTTCGTTACAGAGCCAACAACCCGCGCTGTTCCCCGGGACTTGCCCTTGTGCTGGAGAAGGTAGCAGGAGGAGAGGAGGCATTTAGCGGGCATGGCACAAGTGCCTCCAGACAGCATGCAGCTGAGCTCCGTGATCTCTAACCAACCTCAGCACCAACCACGTCTTTTTAGGAGCATCTGTTGTCACTGTGCTGTAGGGGTCAGGAAAACAGACTGTCCTCAAGGACAGGAGAGGTTTTCTCCTCCATCAGCCATGGATTTTCCTTGGCGATGCTCCTGTTGCTCAGGTTAACATCTCTCTGTTTGTCTCTGTGGCTCCGCTGTACCTTTGGGGCCTAAGAATCCATTCTCGGTGCTTCACTGCTTCTGTCCCCTCTGAAATTTTGGCTGACTTCCTGGGACAGTCCTGCACCCTTGTCTGCTTCTGGTGGGTCTGTCTGGGAGGTGGAGCCCACTCACGTGCACGGGTTGTGTAGTGCCAGGTGGGCAGAGTGACCCTGAGCACCTCGGGAGCTTTATCCCCTCACAAGTGGGAGAAGCTGGGGGTCCATCACAAAAACAGTTCCCCTGCAACTCCTGGGAGCAAAATTTACACCTGTGAACCCAAGAGCCAGTATTGTATTCAGTCTTTCTCATCTAAGACAGCCCAGCAGTGCTACACAAGCGATCGGCACTGAGCTGGGCTCTGGCATTCATCTTCCTGGGCTAAGAACGGGCGAGCATTTTTCCTGTTAAGTGTCACAGGCGAGTACCAAGATTTTCTCCAGCCCATGTCTCCAGTTCAGGGCATCCCTGGGGACAACGGGGGATGTTGAGGGCTTTTCTTTTCACAGCTCTTATTAAATCCTGGTGTGTCTTGACTACTTTCTGTGCAGAAAGTGCAAGTAGTGATAGCTCTGTAGAGGTCTGTTGGTGTTCGTGAAGGTGCCAGTTCAGGGTGGGAATGGAGATAACGAATCAAGTTAATGAGGTAACCTCTCCTTGCAAAATTCTTTTTGAAGGGGAAGGGGATGCAAAACACCCTGGAAACCTTCTCTGAGCCTGGGGTTCAGGGCAAGAGAGACGCAGCCTTTCAGTGTCATTATTGCTCTTGGCCCAGAACTAAAGATGAAGAATAGCCAAGTGCTATTGACGTTCTTCTTGTACCAGAAATCTAAAACAAGGTCCATCATGGGGTAAAATCCTCATTCCTTTGCTGCATATTGTTGGGAGCCACAGCTGCTGCCTGCCCTCTCCAGGCTGGGGCTCACAGCAAGGCAAGGCAGAGCCCCAGGCCCCGCTGCACTGGGCTTTGCCTGAGGCCAGGATCTAGCAGAGCAGGAGCAAGCAGGAGTCACGGGTCCTCTGTGTGAGCACTGAGCAATCCAGCGTTTGCAAAACAGCATGAAGGTGAAGCTCCTCCCTATCACATCTCTGCATGTCTCAGACTTTGACATGATCGAGCAGCACTGTGCTTTCCCTGCACACGGCTGGGCTGGGCAGGAGGCTGACCTACTTCTCCCATCTGGTCCTTGGCAGGTCACCTGTGACTCAAATAGAATCTTCAGTGCATCCCGGGACAAGACAGTAATGATGTGGGAGCTTCACGGGACTTCAGGGCCAAGCCAGCACTTCCCAGGACATGACCTGGTTGTTACTGGACTGGCTGTGAGCCCAGGTGAGGACCAGCACACTCCTATTCCCCAAACAATGATTTCTTCACGGTTTATCTTGACAATTTTTGTATGTTAACGTGTGGTTGCAGATGCCACTCAGCTGTGCACAGGCTCGCGAGACAACACTGTCTGCAAGTGGGACGTAGAGACCGGAGGGTGTTTGGGCAGAGCTGCTGTCTCCAGGAACCTGGTAGGAGCTGCTGGTTGCTCGCATCCTGTAATGGCAACTCGCTGCCTACTCGGGTACTTCACGAGTAAAGCCACGTAGAGTGGCCTTGAGCTTGGCACTGCAATAAGCCCTTGAGGCACCGCACAGATTGCCTTTATGTTTGGGGAGATCAAAGCCTGGGGGTAGTTACCCTTTCCTCCAGGAAACAGCGCCTCTCATAGCACAAAGATACCAAGAGATGTGTGGTGATTTATTAATTCCCTCTTGTACCAGCTCGGCAGTGGAGTTGTATCTTCTGCTGCCTGTGGTGCCCTTATTCCCACGGCACTGTGCCCCGCTGAGCTGCTGCTGCCTCTCTGCCTGCTAATAAAGCCCAGCCACCTCTCTGGGATCAGACCAGCATTGGTCCCAACAGCACTGGTGGGAAACAGAAAAAGCTTCATCCGTCATTTCCTGCTCACTACCCAGCAGGAGAGCGAGGACGGGGGAGCTTTGTGGTTGTGTACCTACAGGCAGATGTCAGCCTGGGCTGCACGCAGAGGTGGGCAGCACGTTGCTCTTCCCTTCCCCTCCGCAGGTAACACATCTGTGCTGGGTTCCTGGGGAGCCCTACGTCATCCAGACGTCAGAGGATAAAACTGTCAAGTAAGTCTTACAGGTGGCCACAGAGAAGGGAGTTACAACCTGGGGTACATGGCAATGGATTATGGAAAATGTCGGTACACAAGGGGTTGGTTGCTTGCTTTTCATAAAGTCCTGGTGTAGCCAGAAGCCACCTTCCAGCTCACCTGGGTCTTGGAGGGTGGTCTCTTGCCAGGGAAGGACAGCATGGGGACACCCGAGGCTGTAAGCAGCACTGGGCATCAACTATGTGTAAAAAGAAAAATGGTTCGGAGCTCCTAAATACTGATTTAGGACTCAGGGTGTGGGACAGACAAACGCAAGTATGCAGTGACAGCATTGAGAGAAAGGAGGGAGACTGTCCCATGATGGAAGAGGTCGAAGGCAAAGTGAGGGCACAGTGGGGGCACCGAGGGAAGCCCTTCGTGGCAGTGATGCCCCCGTCCTCCTTCCCCCCTCTCGTTGCTTCCAGGATGTGGGACAGCCGGGAGCTGCGGGTGGCACAGACGTTTCCAGGCAAGCAGCACATCCAGACGTGCTGCGACGTGAGCCAGGACGGGCGGTATGTCCTCAGCAGCAGCAGCGGCTTCGCTGGGGAGGGCTGCGAAGCAACCGTGAGTTGGCTGGGCAGCAAGTCCTGCTTTCTTCTGATTTTTCTCTAATCTCCACCGCACACAGCAGAGGGCAGCAGATCAGTGCTCCAAGGGTCTGCCTGCAGCAGAGCGCAGATCCCACTGCTTTGGCCTTATTCTGATGTCACCAGTAAGGCCTGAGCTTAGTTCCTTCCTGCCTGTCTCGTTGGTGAGTCTGCTGCAATAAGAGGTCTTTTTCCCCATTAAAGCACCGGGATTTTGTATCAGTTTGCAGGGACGTGTTTGAATGGTAACAAATGGTGAAAATCCTTTGGGGTCTGAAGTGCTCTAGGACTGTGAGCATAAGCAGGGGCTAGAGGCGATGTTGCACTGCTGGAGGTAGATGTTGCACTCAGGATTGGCAAGGAGCTCTTTAGCCTCCTCCCTTTCTTCATAGAACAGCTCCATGTTGGCAAGTGACACTAACGGAGCCTGAGCTCTAAGCACTGCCTGTTGCCTTGCAGCTGTGGGACCTGCGGCAGACGAGGAGCCGAGTGCGTGAGTACAAAGGGCATTTCCAGACCACAACCTCCTGTGTCTTCCTTCCACGGGGCCCTGCTCTTGCCCCCAGCATTGCCACATCCTCGTACGACAGCAAAGTGAAGGTCTGGGACCAAGACACTGCAGGTAAGGGAGGGTGCTGCCCACTGACTGTGCTACCCTGGGAAAGCAAAACTGCTTCCTTGGTTTCTGTCTCCCTGGGGTGATGAGAACACACCTGTGTGTGCCTGTAACCTCTGAATTTTAATCAAATGCAGCCACGGGGCAGGGTGGAGACAAGCAGCAGAGCAACTGGTGTTGTGCCAGGGGCTTCTGCCTGCCCTCCGGCACAGGAGGGTGTTTGGGTGCATGAGGTTGGAGGTGGTGGGTGTCCTTTAACTAAAAGGAAGCAATGACAAGCTGGCTTTGAAAGGTGTCCAAGTTCAGCAATGAAATGCAAATGATAAAAATGAAAAAGGGCAGTGGAACTCCAGGGCTTCCCTCAGATACAGGTGGAAAGCTGCAAAGCACAGACTGATCACCCTCTGAGTGGGAACTACAGGCATTTCACAGCCTGCTTGCTGGAGGATTTGGTGCGGGCTAAGTCCTCACATGAGCTGGACACAAAGGCTGGTTACCTGCCAAGCCCTGACACAGCAGTGGGTTTGTTATCTAATGCCTTGCGCAGAGGGCAGAGACAGTTCCTTCTGGGAAGCTGTTTGGGTTCACTGACATGCTGTGTGCTGGGTCCAGCAAAAATCATTAGCGTTAAACACTCACTGTACTAAGAACCTCTTCACACACAATTATTTTAAATAGAATAAAAGTAGAAACCTGGTGTTGTCCCACAGTAAAACTCTCACCTTCTCTTTTCACTCACCTCACTTTTTACCCTGGTGCCTGTGCACACTGAGACAGCCTTGGGGTCGGCAGCAGCTCTGCACGTTGTCTCTTTTGACCTTCAGCTGTCAGCTCTAGTTCAGGTGCTGTCTGGCAGGCGGACGTCGCTGTGAAGGGCAGCTGCCTGTACGTCCTTGTCACACGGCTCTGCGACCAGCTCAGCATGGGGCTGGTGCCTGCATAAATACATCAGGATTTCTTATTAACACACACAAACAGAAAGGCTGATGTGGCTCTGAACACTCTAAATATTACTTTCGTTTCTCTTTTAGAGGTTTATCAAAACTGTGTGAGGGGTTTATTAAAACCCTTGGAAAGAATTTTTCTTGATCATAAGCAACTTGGGAGAAAAAAAGGCATGTTGTAATGCCTCCATGTGAGCCCTGTGGTTCTGTCTGTCCATCTGTTTTGGTTTTCTCTCCAGGGGAGGTGCCTGGCCTCAGCCTGGATCCCTGTTCTGGCCTGCACGGACCCCAGGGGGGCTCACCCAGCACAATGGGGGGCGGAGTGGGCAGCACTGCCCTGCGCATGGCTCACCTCCCTTGCAGCCGACCAAGGGGCAAGCAGATGGGCAGCTGGACACACAGGGGCAGAGCCAGGAGGTGGGAGCTTGGGGTGGTTGTTCCTTACCTTGGAAAACCACACATCCTGAATGATTTCTCTCTTGCCTCCCCAGCCTGCCTGGCCACTGCATGCCTCGAGGGAGCAGGACCACTGGCCTCGCTGGCCGTCTGCGACAGCTCCACGCTGCTCTGCGCCACTTTTAACTCAGGGATCCACTTACTGCAGATGAGAAACGGTGCCAACCTGGAGCTGGAGGAGCTGGCAATACTCTGACCATAAGAACCTTTCCAGCAGAGACTGCCCCACAGGCAGCCAGTTCGCTGTCAGCTGCCCCTGACTGCAGGCACAAGACAACGCCGCACCTGCAGAGCGGTGATGCAGCTCAGGGGCAGCACAGGGGCTGTACTGCTTATAGCTTGTAGGTGGTGGGAAGCAATTAGAGCTGTCTAGAAGAAAAGCCAAATCATAGCTGCATTCGGGCCAAGTTCTCACTCCTGTAAGAGCACTGTTTGATTTGCAAAACCTCCACGCAGACATGAAGTGGGCTAGCAGAAGAGGACCAAGGAGCTATGAGAAAGCACGTACCATCCCTGCGGTGGTTCTCAGGTCTCATCACAGCACTGCTGCCCTACAGCAGGAAAGCTGGTTTTAGTGGGAGGAAAAAAGAGCAACCACCTTGGACTTTATCAGACAGTGTGAGAAGAAATCAGGGATCTCCGTCTCCTTCCCTGGACAAGATTCAAATCAGCATCGCTGTTCTGTTTCCCTGAGCCAGCTCATGGCAGTGCCTCCAGAGGGCTCCAGGAGCTGAATAATCGGTGTATTTACATTGCTGTGATGCAGCAGGCTCTCAGGACACATCTGGCTCCCATCTGTGGAGCAGATGGTTCACATCTGGGCAGATTGGTCTCTGGCTAAGCCAACAGGCAGCACTGCAGGGTGCCAGGGCATCAAGCAGGGAAGATGTCGTCCTTCTCCTTGCTCCAGCTCATTGTCCTGTTTAGTGAAGCCAAACACCATGTGACAGAAATCTTGCACTGGGATTTACACCCCTGGGACAATGTGTGTGTGTGTAAATGCAAAATGTTCATGGGTGTCCAAAATTTCATCTAAAGCCAGCTAGAACCATGCTGCTGCCTCCAGGGGGAGCAGGCTGGCTAAGTGCTGGGCAAGGGCTGCCCCATGAACGGCAACCCGATGAGGTACGCCCTTGGGGAGCTTCTCCTTAAGGACAGGGAGATCCCTGGCTCTGCAGCTGGAAGCTTGTGCTTCTGAGCTCGGACAGTCCCTTTAGCAGACCCTTCAAGAGGTGCTTGGACACACATAGCTGGGTATCTAGGCTTACACAAGAGATTTCAATTAAATATTTTTCTGTGCTATTTCCTGGCCTCCAGCCTGTTAACATGTTTCCTAGGAGCAAACGAGAGCATCCAGCACATCGCAGGTGCCACCATATTGCTAGGAGGAGGAGCAGGCACACAGCTCTGCTGGAAAAGTAACCCATGAGTAGTTTGCTGTTGTTGAAGCAGCATGGTCCCACGTACACTGCCCACGTTGGAAACAATGCTGTCTGCTTTCCCAGGGAACACGGACAGCACCAGCTGGCAAGAGGGGAGATGAATGTCTTCTCTTTTCCCCTGAAGCTTTTTTCCATTTCTTAGTCAGACACAGAGGTCAGGGTGCACATAGAAATTATGTTTTGATTTTCCAGACCACATTTGTAAAACTTCAGTTTAAGGAACAAACAACAAATAGGACGTTTCTTCACAGTGTAAGTTAGAACAAGAAATCCTGCACTAAGTAGCCTTCTTTGTATCACACGTAGTGAGACACAGAAAAAACTTCAGCAGGAGATAACATCCATGGATTTGAAAGACCCAATTTGTAAGACAGCTGAAGGAGCTAGGACATGAGATAACCTGAGATGGTACATGGAAAATAAAAACCCTTGGCCTTTAACATCTACTGCAAGCAGATACAGGCCTCTATGTTCAAACTAACTTGAAGTAGAAGAACGTTTTTCCTCCAACAACTGACAACTCTTTATTTTTTGAATGCAAACGAGCTTTGAAGCCACAGACTCCTATCAAAGCAGCCTGGAAAACAGAAGGTAAGAACGGTATTGAGGCTGTACAGCACACCATCCATGAAGTGCTGTGTGGCTACCTACAGATGTGTAAAACAAAGTGGAGAAAACTCGTGAGCCTAGCTTGGAAGGGAGGTAGAGAAAGTGTCTGCAGCATAAAACAAGAGTCCTAAAAAGTAGAACATCATCCAAGCTTTGACTCCAACCAAGCCCTGACAAACAGATGCTTCAAAACCACCTCAACCAGGAAGCAGAGACACAGCCAGTGATTACAGCCATTGTAATGCATGTTACAAAAGCCGTTTTTTTAATTTAATATAAAAAAGACAAGTCTTAGTTCAAAGCCATTAACATCTCTGTCCCAGCTGACCACGAGCACCTGAGCTACTCTGCTGTCCACAACTTGAAGGTTCTGTCATAGGAGCACGTCGCTATCAGCTGACCATCAAGGGAGATATCCAGTCCCATCACCTTTCCCTCATGACCCGCCAGTGTCTTCAAAGGGGACCAGCCAGGGTGAGTCCAGATCTTCGCCGTGTTATCGTAAGCGCCAGTCAGCAGGAAGTTGCCATGATTGGCTGCAGTTAAGGATGAGAAAAAGGGAGAAGTGAGATTTGCAAAGAAAACCGTGACAGACCATCTACCATTAACCAGTACAGATCCTCCTGATCTGAGGATGTGGTTTGGAATTGCTCCAACCCCTGCCACCTCAGCCCAGGAACGGTAGGGATGAGGAACAGACAGGAGGTACTCACGTTCAAATTTCACCCCAGTCACCAGGTTCTGATGGGCAGGAATGGTGTAGATGCACTTCCTCTGGCGGAGGTCCCACACCTTGCAAGTATTGTCACCACTGCCAGTTGCGACATGGTATCTGCCAAGGGGCCAAGTAGGAAAGTATTGAAAGCTAAGCTTTGTGCTCAGAGCTCCCACGTAAACCATGCAAACTCCTTTCTTACCCATTTGGGGAGAAATTAAGTCCATAGATCTCCTTCAGGTGACCTTCCAGAAACATGATACAGCGTCCTGTGCGCAAGTCCCACACCCGGCCAAAAGCATCCAGTCCACTGAAGAGAGAACCCGACCAACATCACCCCTCAGATTCAGCAACTGCCAGAACACACTCAGCCTCACCCACACTGGGACATTCGGCATCAGTCAGCACCAAAACCTCGATAGTGCTTCACATACAGTCTTGATGCAAAGCAAACTCACCCAGTCCCAGCAAGAGACCCATCCGTGTGAAAGGCAATGTCATAGACCCCTTTGCTGTGTCCCTCCTGATGGAGAATCTCTTCCTGAGCTTCCAAGTCCCACAAGCGCCACGAGTGATCATAGCTACAAAAACAAAGCATTTGTCCAACTAAATGTATTTTTCCATATTCCCGATCTGAGCAGATAATCCTGTTTGACCTGGGCACACGCATAACAGCTGTCAGCACATTCACACTGGCTGGTTCAAAACCGTTTCTTGTGCATAGGAAAACATGCCAGGAGTGAGACTGTCCACAGCAAAACCTCAGAAATCCTCAGCACACCCCTGGGAGAGCAGGGAGCTTCTCTAGGTCCACATAAATGTCCACATAAAACCCCAAAGGGATCACACAATGGGTGATGCTGATCCATTTGCAGGTTAGGAGATGCAGTGTACAAAAACCACACTCCCTGTTCAGATGCCGTTCTTTTCTGAGTTGATAGAGTGGAGCCCAGATGGCCTCAGAAAGCCACACAAAAGGGAAGAGGGAAAAACAGTTATGAGTAACTGCCACAGGATGATTACTACGAGAACAGAGACTGTTTGGTTAACTTTGTAAAGCCTTTAAAACTGAATTTGAAGGAAGAGAGAATAGAACAGAACAGCGTCGCTTACAAGGATCCTGACTGCCAGAATGCAGGTATCTCACTGAAATCCCCATAAAAGTAGTACCCATTTCTGCTTCTGGAATTAGATTTTCAGATAACCTGTGCATCATTCAGCTCCAGGGCAGCACACTCTCCCTCTCCCTCAGCAGTGTTCATGTCTGCCTGCCTGTCCCACTCACCACATCTCCCATCCCACACTCACGAGTCAGCAGCAGCCAGTGGGCTGCTTCTCTGGCAGCTGGACGTCTCCAAGGAGAACAACGGGATAACTCACTAACTTTGTGGATGCTTTATTTCCAACTGGAGACCAACTGGGTCTCATGTGAGAAAGGAGGTCTTTCAAGAATCACACTGACAGCAAATAGTAGTATCTTAAAGTGAAAAAAAAAAAAGAAAAAAAAAAAACAAATCTCCATACCAAGTAGTACCCAGGAACCTCCCAGAGGGGTGCCACATCACACGTGCCACTCTCATGCTGTGACCTTCAATATCTGCCACTGGCTCATCACTGGAAAAGAGAAACAGAAGTCATCAGACGCTGGTCAGGGTGGCTGGCTCTAGCCAGGCCTTTGTAGCTATGATCTCAAGAAAGCTGGTCGTTAAGACCAGCCCAGAAAGGAAAGTCAAGAGTTTTGACTATAGGGACTCTAAATTCTGCCTTTTGTTCACACAGCTGAAGCTCTATGTCTAACCCCTTTATACACACTCATATCCTCAATTATAAGTTCTCCTGGGATAACTGATTTCAAAAACTATCAAGATCCTTGTTATTAGCAGTTTGAAAGCCTCAACAGCAGAAACTAAGCTCAGAGTGCACAGCAGGGAGCTTTACTGTGACTACACAGAACACATCCCATACCGCCTCACCCCAACCCTGCTATTCTGATGAAACCCAGGGCAGGCAGGAGAGAGCAAACATTTACTGTCCCAGAATTACGTGCGGCAGCTCAGCAGCCTTTAGCAGAAGATCTGAAGAGCATTAAGAGTGTCTTTCCAACAGACCAAATAGAGATGTGGTCACATGGGACTAACAAACAGCTGTTGCTTGGCACAAGCATGCTTCTGCAATTAGAAACAGTGGCTTTCAGGTAAGGATAATGAAGTAAGGACCTCAGAGCTGCCTGCCTCTTCCCGAGGCACTGCAGGGCTCCGCTTTTCAAACACAGCAGATGCTATGGCTCACAACGCTTCTCAGGCTTGAGATAGATGCTGCACATTTTCTAGAACTATACCGTGCAATGACACAGAGCCAAAGGATTTCTTACAGGATGAACTTCAGTGCATGGTTATGTATTTGGCTAGTCACTCTCTGCATACTGGTGCTTTCCAATAACCCAGAAGTTCATGCAATATCAAAGAGGGGAAATTCCCTCCCAGATGAAAGGTTAGAATGAAAAACACTCCAGATCTTCCATCCATCACCCAAAGCAACTTGCTAATGCCCAACAGCCATTCTGACTTGATTCTTTCCAGACAATTTCCCCTCACCTTGATTCCCCTATCAGGGTGATCTCTTTTCCTGCCAAAGAAGATGGCATATACCAAGGCCAGGGATTGCACTGGTATAACTACAAGAAAAGGTTATATTTGCAGGAAGATGGTAAATGTCCACTGTTGAATAACTCAACCCCCAAAGCAACAATGCTGCAACTGTGCATGCCCAGTGCCATTCTAACCTTTCAAGGCTCCAGAGTTTGACAGAACCATCAGCTGCACACGAGGCCAGGTTAACGTCCTTCTTGTCTAGGGAGACAGTGGCTTTGGGGTGGAAGACTATTGCTCCTACATTGGTGTTATGTCCTTAAAAGAAAGGAAAATCAAAATTCATAAACTGACACAGGATCTTGTTAGTCGGGTACCAGAGCATACTTTCACCGTGTCCTCCCATTTTGGGTGAAGTCACACAGCTAAACTGCAATCCCAGTAGCACCCACTTAAAGAGCATCAGACACCAAGATCTGCAAACCTCAAAACGCAGTGAAAATTCAACATCTGAACGAAGAGATTTCATTTACTCAAACCTCTGTTCACTGTTCAAAGAACCTTACTCTTACTACATTGTCTGGCCAAGAATGCTAGTACTTGTCTCAAAATAATTCAGACCAGGTTTTTAAACAAGGTAAAACAAAAACATTATCCAGAAAGAGAAATAACAAACTGGTCTTTTCTCTAAGAGAAAAGTCAGGACTTCCTCTGGATTATCTGACACGTGTCCATGCTCTGCAAGCCTGAGTAATGATCTTGTTAGAATAAAATATGCCCAAAGAACACAGCTTTTTGAGTTACAAAACAATTCAGATATGAGAATTTGGCCGAGAAAGGAACAGAACTATGCAAAGAATTTCAATGAAAGTCGCTCTACCTCGCAAGGTGTGAACAAGGTTGCAGTCAGGCACAGACCAGAGCTTACAAAGTCCACTCCTGTTGAACACAAGAAATAGAAGTCAGTGTAGGCAGAAATATCAAACAAATTTTCTAACACAGAGCTGCAAGAACACAATGAGAGGTTCTGCAGTGGGTAAAACACCAGCATGCTTTGAGACTAATGGACTCTGATTCAAATCCCTGCAAAGCTCTAAAGTGGAGTGAAGATGCAGCTCTGAGTAGGAAGAAAATCCATTTCTGAACTCTCACAATTTACAGACCTACAATAACATCCCTCTCCTTCACTCCTGCTGGGCTGCTTCACCCCCTAAAGTACTTTAAAAAAAAAAAATCTTACCAACAGGCAGTAGCCAAGAATTTGGAATTAGGGCTGAAGTGGCAGTAGGACAGTGGGCGATCATCTCCAATCTGACTGCAGAAGTTATTCAAGGACTGCAACCAAATGCAAAGGAAAGAATAAGTAAACTACAAATGACCTAGGGAAAGCCTTGGCCAAAAACTTGAGGGAAAGACAACAGACATACAAAGGAACAGACATGGCGCTTTGGAAAGTCACTTCCAAAAGGAGGAGCTACCTCAGAGCCATTCCAAGCAGGAGGACCATGAAGCAAGTCTGACTGATGGAAGCTAACATTGCTTGGCGGCACAGCTTAGTGCTCACTGTACCACCGCGTGCCACTGATAGCCCTGCAGGCCTGCTTTGTGACTACAGCTTTGACAGGGACCTCACTGCAGTTTGGGCCTCCTACATCTCAGCCAAGGAACATAACCAGAAAGAGTAGGGCAGGCAGTGTGGTGCTCACGGGGGAGAGGCAAATCCTCTGGCAGCTAATGCATCTGGGGATAAACAGGATTAGAGTGGCAACACACTGTGTGCTGGAACCATTCTGCTAAGTTAGGAATCTGACTTAACGTGCTTGAAAAGGGCGTCTCAGAATCATTCTAAAAGACGTTTTCCATTACCGTGTTGGTTATTATTTTCCACTTTTTTATGGAATAGTGACCATGGCACAGGAAGAAAAAAACAAGCAGTCCCTTCCTGCCAGCTAAAGCTGTGACAAACCCAGGAAGCAATCTCTCTTGCTTCACAGGCAAGTGACAAGGCAATGCAGGGACATCTGTTCATCCCTCTGCAACACGGGGGAATAACAGAAGCAGGTCTCTGAATTGCTGAAGAAACAGAGGTAGAACACGCATATCATCACAAAAGAGTAAATGTGGAGATCTACAATGGAGACAGGCACAGCAAACCACATGCATGTGGACAGCACCTCCAGGCAGCTGATCTTTCTCTGACCTCTTTAGAGATCAGCACAAAGTCTTAAAAATGGCAGCAGAGCAGATGTCAAACCTACTCGCAGGGATTTGTGCAGCTCCTGTCTCTGTGATGTCCTGGTTGCTTCTGGAATCTCTTTGAGTAGTCGTGCTTCTTCTAGCCGCTTCACTGCCCTGTGAAGAGCAAAGATGGAGTAACAACTCCCTAAGTGTTCCCTGCCCTGCTGCTGGAAACTCTCACGTCCCCCATACTGGGCTAACAAAGTCAGTCACTATTAAGATTTAATCTCACTGGATTTGTCTACCAGTGTCTGTTCCCCACTCTTTTGATCTCAAATTTCCTGCACTACCCACAGCGGGATTAGCAGTTTGATCTTACAAAAGGTTCCATCTCTCCTTCATTCACATTGTTTTTCTTTACCTGGGAAGTGAGTAGTTAGCAAGCCACAGCCTTGCTGTTTTCAGACTGCGTGGTCCTTCATGGTACCAGGTTTGCTGATACTGTTAAGACAAGGAACAAAGCCACAGAAAAAGCTACCATGATACTGCTCTTCCATTCAGTTGATGTGACTTCCACTTACATCAACCCCCTCAAAACAGTAAGGCAAAAATGGACTCAGAAAAAAGAAAGAAGAAGCAGAAAGACAGACAAGTCAAAGACAGAAAGAGATGCAGTATAGCAGAAACAGTTTTTTCTTCCCAAGTCCGAAGACAAATAATAACAGACTTGCTATACTACATGACAGTCCAAACACCTAATCTCCTGATTCATGTGCTGTACACAACACAGTTTGGTCTGGAGTACAAGCCAGAGTTCACGTTCCCTACTCAGATAATACATTGCCAGTTTTGCTAGAATGGGTGACACAGAAGAAGGAGCAAGAAGGGATGATGTGAGAATCCACAGACCAACCAAACCCAAAAGCCTTGGACATACTGGAGACCACCAGAATAAGGTATCAAAAAGGTTAACATACACATCTCCCTCAGCACTGAGAAAACATTACCTCTTCTTTGGATTTTTTTGACCTGTCGTCATCTTTTCTAGTCTTTTTTAACGCATCAGTGCCAACCACTGACAGGATATTTCTTAATCTGAAAAGAAAGATATTATGTCACATTGATTCAGCGAATTCTCATCTAATCTCACAGACACTCAGTGAGTGCCATCCTTTCCCCACAACTCTTCCCATGTGGGAATGTAACATCACTGACTGGCAGCACTCAGAGCATGCCAGCTACAAGGAAAACATGAGGAATTTGATAAACTGGGTACAGAATTTGATAAACTGGGTACAGCCGAATGCTCCCGGTTTGCAACAGACAAGGGTGGGCACAGCACCTCTCCCTCCTTTCGGCAGGACCTTCTCCGAAGAGCGTGATGGGCTCCCCGAGTGCTCGCAAGCAGGCTTTCACTTCAGAGTCATCAGTGGACACGTTGATTTGCCGGGCTCTCTTCCTGCGCTCAAACTCAGCCAACACTTCTGCCTGCCGCTCGCTCATATGATCTTCCAGATCAAAAACCTCACCTAGACCAAAAACAACATCAGCAGATTGAAAATAGCAGCCGGACAAGAGATCTCTCTCCAACAGGCAGACCCAAACAAAACCACAGCCAAGGCTGAGGTCTCTCCTTCACAACTCTAAATCACGCTCAAACTTGATCAGAGAGACTTCTGGCTACGTCAAGTTCAAAAGCAAGGGGGAAAAAAAGTGTTTAAGCCTTCTCACCGCTACTTATGTTAATGTTGCCAGCCTCGATCGCAGCTTTCATCCCTTCTTTCCCCAGCAGACCCGATTCGCCCTTTGCCAGCCGCTCCCTCTCCTTCTCCTCCAAGCTGCCATAGAAGATGGGCGCTCTCTTGGCGGGCGGCGCATCGCTCTCCTCGGGGGGTTTGCTCTTTGTGGCCTGCAAGGGAAGGGTTTTAGGGTTTTAGGGCCCCTTCAGGCTGAGCAGCAGGCGGGGGGCTGTGGGGGGGCCCTGGCACCGCTCGGGGGCTGCCTGCGGGCAGCGGGGCCGAGGCCGTGCCTCAGGCACCGAGCTGTGAGGTGACGGCACCGCGGGGCACCGCTGTGGTGGCGCCGCGACCCCTTTTTTCCCCCCAGGACCCAGCCCCCGAGGCTCCGCTCCCGTCTCGGTCACTTCACCCGCGACGCTCCCCCTGCCCCGGTGCCCCCGGTGCCGGCCGAGCCGTGGCAGCGCCGCGGTTACGGGGCTGTGGGCAGGGCCGGGACACGCGGGGAGCCCCGGAGAGCCGCGGCCCCCACCTCTGGCGGTGCCGGGGGCCGTGCCGGGGGCCGCGCTCCGCCTCTCGCCGCCGGTGCCCGCGCGGAGGCCATGGCGGCGGCGGCGGCGCCTCACGGAGGCTTCCGGGCGGGGCGGGGCGGGAGGCGCGGAGCAGGCCGGGAGGGGCGGTGGTGGCGGTGGAGGTGGTGGCGGCGGCCAGGCGGGAGCGGCCATGCTGCGGCGGAAACCGACGCGCCTGGAGCTGAAGCTGGACGACATCGAGGAGTTCGAGGGCGTCCGGAAGGACCTGGAGGTGCGAGCGGGGCCGCGCCGGGACGGGCCCGGGTCCCCGATCCCGCCCTGACGCGGCCCCCCCCTCGCCCCGCAGGGCCGCAAGAAGCAGCGGGAGGAGGCGGAGGCGGCGGCCGGCGAGGAGGCGGCGGCGGCGGCGGCCACGGCGCTGGCGCTGGGCACGGAGCACAAAAGCCGCGAGCAGCTCGTCAACGAGCGCATCGGCTACAAGCCACAGCCCAAGGCCGGCGGCCGCGCCGCGCACTTCGGCACCTTCGAGTTCTAGCGGCCGGCCCCGAGCCGGGGTTGGGGGCTGCCCGGGGCTCCCCTCAGCCCCCCCTCGGCTGCTTCGTGTGAAATAAATGCGGGTTTTTTTATCAGTGGGCCAATAACTCGCGCAGGCTGGGCCGGTGGGAGCCGGTCCTGGGTGCCCGAAGCCGCTGCGGGCACGGGGCAGCGCCTGGCGCCTCGCGGCCTTTGGGTAAAAGCCCGGGGGGTCGCGAATCTGCCCTCCCCCCCCAACAAAGCTGCTCTCTTTTTTCCTACAAAGGCCGGGGAGGCAGCCCCCGGTCTGTGAAATGCCGCTCTGCCCAAATTGCCCCGTGCCACGGCCAAACCCTCGGGAGGGCAGCATCCCGCACCAGCTGCTGGGATGGTGCTGGCACTCACTTCACACTTCTCGTGTAGGTGTGCCAGATTTCAGGCCAGGCAGGGGAAATGTACAGAGCCTAAAACTTTTCACACTGTTCCTCAGACTGGGAAGTCACAATCTGGGCTAGCAGGCCTAACACCACGTAGATTGACCAGGGATTTCTCTGCCATTCAGGCATCCTTTGGTTGCAAGGGGAAAGTAAAACCAACCCAGAGCCTCATTTCTCATGAGTGGATGAAAACAGCCAACAGTAATACTGTGGGTGGGAGACTGCTGTTCCTTGCTGCATACAGACAGCTGCTATGCCCCAAGTAGGCTCATCTTTACAGCTCCCCAAAGTTCACATCCTTTGACTCCCTCTGCACCAGAAAGCAGATACAAGGGGCATCAATTCCCCCTTTCTAGCTCAGCTTCCCCCACACTGATAAGTTTAACGGGACTGAAACAACTGGATTACTCTCACACCAGTAGCTTCCCACATTGCTGTTCTAGCAGCTTCAGGGCTTACTGATCATGGCAGGGGCAGGTCAGGGGATGCTGCTCCTTACTCGGCTCCCCAGGCACAGTGAGATGGGCACTTTTCCCCTGCTGCTCACTCGCACTGTCACAGCTGGCACAGAAGAGTCGTGCCAAAGAAAAGGGGCTGGGGCAGTCCAGGCCACAGTTTTCTGGCGCTGGTAGAGCAGACACTTACTCTTGGAGATGCGTTCTGAATGTTTCAGTAAAGCTGCTGGCCTTCACCTCAGCTGCAGTCTCTGCATTGAAGATTGTTTATAAAGCACACATCCACCATAGTAAAATGCAATCTATTTTATTGGTTAATTATATACAGGAGACTTGATATGCACAGTAACATTAGACAAGTTACCTCCACAAAAAGCAAGAGTAAAATCAAAAGTGACAGTCCGCTGTAAACAAAACTATACATCCTGTTGGATCTGTTAGCACTGGCTCCAGCCCAACTGAAAAGGCACTCCAAGAAAAACAGAAGCCAGCTGATGAACGCAGCCTGGATACCTTGTGCACTTCTTCCAAGATGATAATCCAGAGGCACAGCGTGTGGAGACTGAGTATCAGGGTGCGATCAAAGGCAGACACAGGACATCACATTCTAAGCATGCTACATGTGTTGACATATGAGTTTAATTTACTCGAGTCTAATAATCATTAGAGTCCTTACCTCCCTCCAAGTACTGCTCGATGCGAGTTTAGTGTTAACATCAAGACAATTTAAATACAGCCAGCATAAAGGCTGGGACTGCAGCAAAAGCATTCAGCGCAAGTCATCGCTGGGAGGCCGGGTTTTGCTCAGTCTGGGAGGGCAAACAGCAGCCTGGGCCAAGAGCATGGCAGCTGGTGGAGGCTGGAGGATCAGAGGGAGGCTGGGACACGGGGAGGTAGGTGGCTTGTCTGGATTGTCAACATTTAACCAAAGAAAGCATGGCCAGAGCTGGGATTACAGATGTCCCTCTCCCAGTTGTGCCTCTCTGCATCAGCAAGCTCAGCAGCACAGAGGGTGCCAAGGGAGCAGAGCTACGGGCAACAGTCCCCACCACAGACAGCACGTTGCCTAAGAGTGCCATCTTCTCTCCTGACACCTCCTCTTCGGGACTTCCCTTGTGCACCTCACCCAAAGCCCCTGATGTTCACGTCGTGATGCTCATGAGCTGCTGGAAGGCAGCTGGGGCACCTGCTTTGGAGACTTCAGCCCAGTTTCCTGCTAAGTCAGCGTCACTTCCCTCTGCGTGCCGGAGAAAGCCGTGTGCACTCTCCTGTACAGGGTGGGCAGGGATGACTTCAAAAACAGAGGTGTTCATCCACAAGGCAGAAACAATGCAAGGGAGGTTACACGTACAGTGATGCAAAACTGAATTTGTATCGTAAGAGCCACAGCAATTGCATGATCCTCAAGTCACCTATCTGATCGTTTCAATCAGAGAATTCACGTCTGGTCACTTGAATGCAAAAGGTGGCTAAAAAGCTTCAGTGACAGCAAGATCAGGCCAAGCAAAGGCTTTATTTTACAGAAAGACATAGCAAGAGGTATATGAATTACCTAGTGTCAACACACAAAGCCACTGTACCCTATAATCACCCATCCCTGTAACGGCAACAGCTCCCGCTTGTTCACGAGACCAGATGTAGAGGGTCTCAACCCTTCAGGGATGAGGTCTCCGCAGCGCAAAGCTTTCAAAAAAACAAACAGCCAACTCCAGCATGTAACTGCTTCACGTTTCTCTGACAAGCACTAAGATGTCCACGCGGCTCTCCCATAGGGATTGGAAGGGTCTGTCTGCCCCTCTCACAGAGGAACACGACTCCCAAAGGGTGCAGAAGATCTTTTTACTTCATGACTGATGCAGAGAGAGGGCATCAGGCTACCTGTGACTTCTGCAGCCTGCTACAGACACAACTCCCTCCAAAGACCTGACCGGGGAAGAGCTTAGCCTGTCTCTCATCAGGAGATTGCCACAATTTTTCCATGAAAATAGCTTTACTTCTTTCACCCAGAAGCAAATTTGTTACTGAAAGAAGCTATTCAGAAGCCTGAGCTTGCTTTTAATTCATCTCCTTCTGCTCTGTATTTGCACTGCCCAAAGAAAACAAGATGACCAAATAAATACCTGGCGTCATCCACAGGAAGGTTGACTTTAGGTGGTGCAATTCAAGACCCGGCAGGACGCCAGGTAGCGGCAGTAACAGGCTTCCTGCTGCCATTCAGAGGGTGAGCTCTGCTGGTGGTAGCGTCAGCACAGCGAGGAATCCACACATACAGGAAGGGGCTGTGCTCCGTAAGGCATACAGGACAGAGAAACCTCTTCACAAAGATCAGCTTTCCTGACATAGCTACTCTTAACAGCACGGCTAGTAGCATCTTTGGAGGGGAAAAAAAAAAAAAAACAAAAAAACAACAAACTGCTACCGAGTGTGCTCAGACACTTTGATCTCAAAAGCACTTCCTGTCCACGTGGCACATCCTGGTCGTCAGCCTGAAAGCGGTGTCTGTTTTTCAATGGCCTTCTGGAAATCTCACCGTCTTCCCTTTCAGCCAGTTACAGGCACAAAGAGAGCATCCTGGGCAGAACAGCTCCAGCTCTGCACCACATTCTAACTGCACAACATTCCCTACAACAAGGAGCAGTGTAATAAAAGTGCTAAACCAAAACTGCTCTTTGGAAAACCCGAAGTGTTTTCTGCACATCACCCATCCAGGAAGCTATCCTGTTTTGCCCATGAAATGTGTAAAGCTCATAGCACCAAATGGGAAGTTCTTTACTGTGCTACATGTATCCACTGCTGGCACTGTCAACTCCTGCACTCCAACTAACAAAGTCACAGCATGATTAAGACAAAGAGGAGTCATTTGCATTAGGAATATTTTTTAAATCAGCCCAAGCTGTTCCAAATTTCACCTGAGAATTAACTGAAGGCTGCTGTAATCCTATCTTTTCTTTCTTCACTTCCCTAAATCTCTCTTTTACAGAAACAAGGTTGTTTTCATTTCACTCCAGGAACAACCTTTCAGACACGTTATCCTTTAGCGTCAATAAATCATTTAGCTCTTGCTTCATTTACAGAATTAGTTTTAGTAAGCCAGAAGTCTAGCTCTAGATCCATCCAACGTGAAATCAATATGGGTTCATTGGTCTATTTAAAATCTTTTTGCCCCGTGAATGCACAGTTCTTGTTCTGCATCTACTCCATATATTTCCATGATTGGGAAGTGAAAGCAGCCAAACTGAAATGTTATCACTTGAAGCTCAGTAAAACCACTGGATGTATCAGAAGACTAGCAACACTCGTCATACTCTGATGGGCTTGGAGGACAGACTCCCCTAGACCCCCTGAAGCACTGGGGTCAAGGTACTCTCTTGCCAGGACAGACCTGAGTGTGTCTGATGTGCAGCACCAAGTCTTCCTCAGAGGCTGAGTCCTATGGAACTCTGCCTTAGAAGGTGCCATTGGCCCCAAAAGCCACAATGCCAGGAAGATCTCCTCCCCTGGCATTATGTACATATTAAAAAAAAAAAAAGTAAAATAGCCATTCACACTTGTAGGCTCCATTGGAAACTCTGATCTTTAGCTACTGTTCATAAAACCTTCACAGATGTACATTTACAATTTAAAAACAAAATGTTTTTTTTTTTTTAAAAAAAAAAAAAAAGAATAACCTCTACATTTCTGTCAGCCAACTAATTTCAATCACAGCATAATCTAAGACTAAAGCAAATCCTAGCCAACGGCTACCACGGGACCCTCAAGAGTCAACCCAGCTGCCAGCCTGCAGCATGGGGGAGCAGCATATTCCAGCTCCTCACATCCCTGCACCCCAGCTAGGAACTTGTGGTGAACTCCAGTTGATTTTCTTTGTATCTTTTCTTTCAGCTTAGGAATGATCCAGTCTACATGATGGCTGCATTTCAAGAGAGCAGTGGGATGGAGGGGCTTCTGGGCAGCGTCCAGTGTTAATGGCAGTGCTCAGTGATATCCACAACAACTGCCTTTTTCCAGCTGAAGAAGAAATAGCCCATCCCTGCCCCTGCTGCCACAGCTATGCAGAGGTATCCATTGTACGTCATGAAGATCAGCATAAGGAAGTAACTGACCACGACTTGAATGATGTGCAGTACTGTCTGCAGGAGGTGAGGGAAGCTCAGCATCTGCTGCCTGACAACACAAAACCCAAAGAACAGTCAGCATCCATGAGACAGAGATGGGAAAATGAAC